TGATTTTAGATTCATTAGATAGATCTCGATTTTCTCTTTCAAATGAATGTAAATTTATTTGTATAGCTTATTTCTACGAAGAATTATCAATGATTTTGTCATGAGAGTTATATTTGATCTTTTAAATTTTAATGATATCTTATATTAAAAAAAAATTAAAAATTATATAATTAATTAGTTTTTTTTGCATTATCTGGTATAAATTTATTATTCTTATATAAATAATAATTTATATTTGCTTTAATAAAATTATTTTTGTGTAAAAAAATTAGATTCCAAGGATCAGCCCATATGATTAAATTTGGATCAAATCAAATTTCAAAGGAAAAATTTGATTTGTGTCAATGTTTATTTTTCACTATACAGCATGTACACAGCACACAAGATCAGAATTTTGCATACACCTTTTTTAGAAAGAATGTATAGCATATGTACAAAAAATTTTGAAATATCCTTATATGATTGGACACATATATATTACAGTACCTATTATAGTAGTATAGCCATACCACTTTGCCATACAGTAAGACTTAATAAATTATACGTCATCTATACAGTAACTTTTTATCAAAAAATTAATATTGATTTGTATGGAACATTACATGTAGATTGTATAAATTAATGTTTACTGTACACATTTAGTGAATGTGTAGAGCAATACTTTTCACGTTATGCAACATAGGAAACGTTAGAAGGACACCATAATCCTTAGTTGAAATGTGCAGCCTAACTGTATACACTAATTCATCATGATGCAGTCCAACTACACTAATCCCTGTACCTTCACGTTATTACGCAGTAAAATTTATTTTATTTCTGTGATCGGTGGAATTGAACCTGTGACCTCATTATACTCAGGCTATATAAGGAAGTGCCACCTTAATGACTGTACTAAGGTAATCAGCCCTTAGTTTTATCATTTTACTGTGCAAACAGTCTTATAACTTTATCTTTTATTTATATTTTAACTTCGAAAATTTAAGAACAATATTACAAAATAAGAAAATAAATTAAAAAATAAAAAGAGTAGCATCATGACTCATACAAGTAAAGAAATCTTAAACTAAAATAAAATTAAAGAAAAGAAAAACTAAACTATTACAGAATCACATATCCCAACTTTATCTGAAGGCCAGTGTGAGTCAACTATCTAATATCTAAAAATCCAGTCTATTACCAGAAAGAGACCCTAAGAGGTTGAACTGTTAAGCGGCGTAGAAAATCCAAGTGTAAGATCCAAGATCCATCCCAAATTATAGAAGAGGATATCCAAGAAATCCAGAAATTCTGAAAAACTGACGCTAAAAAGGAGATATAATGATACGAAAAATAATAGAAGGAAAATCAAAGAAAGGGCCATGCGATTTCATCAAGGCAAAAATACCTTAAGATTCTTCCCAAGCATGAAAAAGTATGTTCTGATATAGCCAAATTTCACCATAAAGTGCAACTTGAAAGTCATTAAGAAAAGGAGAAATAATCTGGTAGACAACAGAAAGAGAAAAGTAATTTAATAAAAATATTGTAAGATGGGTAGGAAGTAATCTTCTAGTAAGCCATAGACAAAACGGAAAAGGAGTAGTAAAATTCCAACAGTTTAAAGCAGAAAATTCATCTTGAAATGAAGTAGGTAAAGATTTTAAGTTTAGAAAGGAGACAAGACAGATATCCTGAAATTTAGCAATTTCACTCTGGTAAGTTAAACATGGATTTAGATCAGAAAGGATATAAGAACAAGCCCAAAGATGATTGAGGTTTTCAGGAGCGGATAAATTGCATTGAGGATAAAGCCAGTCCTGAAAATACAAATAAGGTTTGCGTTGTTGCAGCATAGTTAAAGTAGATAACATATCCAAAAGGAGTTTGATACAGAAAATCTAAAATTCAGGACGACCATTTTTATGCGAAGCAAAGCCTTTGATTTAGGAAAGACAAAAATGAATACCAGCCCAATCAAAAAGCGCAGAAGGACCTAATGCAGTGAAACGTGTTAACGAGCAAAAGAATAAAAATTATGAGCATCTCCTATAGAGCGAATAAAATGCTGAATGTTTATATCAATAGGCAGAGAGTTGAAGGTCAATAAGCACAGCACATTGTAAAAGGCTGATGATGGAAAGGTAGATTGTGGAGAAGAATATGCAACTTTAGCTAAAGTATCAGCTTGGGTATTAAGTACATCATCATCGTGAGCAGGGACTTTAACTAATTAGACCTTTAAAACAAGGACCTCAAGAAGACGCTGAATAAAAAGCCAAAGAAGATGATTGTGGTGTTGAAGCAGCTTTGGAGAAAAAGGAGCATTAACAAAATGTGTTCAAAGTGAAATCAATTGAATACAATCAGTGAATATATTAGTAACAGAAGAATCAGAAG